CCCCCCTACCCCGCATTGGGAGCGCGGAGTCTTAACCGTTGGACCACCAGGGAAGTCCCTCTCTTTCTTAATTAAGGAAACTAAGCTCCTCCCTTTGGTAAGGAAACGGGGAAGGATCGCCCGGGTCGTCAGAGCTGGACGCCCAGGCTCAGGGCTGCCGATGCAGAGGGAGGTGGCTGAGCTGGATCAGGCCTCGAAGCGGCGGGTGGGGACGCCAGGACCCCCAGCTGTCTTCCCGCGCAGTTCCTCCTCCTAGAAGCCGCTTTAGACCCCAGGCCTGAGGGGTGAGGGCGGCATCCCCCGCCTCAGCTGGAAAATGACTCCCTCAGGGCAGGGCAGCCTCCCGACTTCAGTGCCGCCTCCGCGGTGGACGGAGGAACCCTGGCCTCCGTCTCCCCAAAGGCTGGGGTCAGGAGACCACCCTCCGATAGTGCCACAAAGGGGAGGTCACCTCATGGCCTGCGGAGCAGGTCGTGGGGTCCCCAGGGTCGGGTCAAGCGCTCACGTGGGGGTGGGAGTTGGGGTCCACAGCTCACGTCTGGCCGTGCGGGGATTGACTAGCGGGTCCTGGGTCGGGTTCTGCCCCGGCGCGCCGGGAGTGCCCGGGGCGGGGTCTGTGCCGGGGGCGGGGTCTGTGCCGGGGGCGGGGTCCGGCGCGCGGGCCGCTCATTTCCGCCGGACGCGCTGGCTCCGTGCGGATGGAGGCGGCGAGGAGGTCGAGGCTGAGCCTGAGCCGCCGGAGGCCGCCCTCGGGGGTCCGGTGAGGCCGGGGCTGGGGGCAGCAGGGGGAATGGGGAGCCTAGTGTCCCCGGCCGAGCAGTGGCCGGGTGTCACGTCCCCACGTGCTTCCCCGAGCCCGCCTCGGTCCTGCCCGGCCCCCCAGCTCTTCCCACCCGACCCCCACCCGCGGAATTCTCACCTCCGCACGCCGAGCTGCACACCTGTCCCCCCGCGCTGAGTCCTCCCTCCTGTGCCCTCCCCGCCGGCTGAGTTCTCACCGCCCCGCCGCCCCAGGTCCCCGAGCAACCCTCCCGGTTCCCCTCCGGACGGCGGCGAGTGTGCGCGGCCGTGGGCTGAGCTGCTGCGAGCCGCGTGTGCGGACCTGAACGTGGACGGCGAGCCGCCGCCGCTGCCCGCGTTCCCCGGCCAGGTGCGTGTGCAGTGCTCCCCGCGTGGACCCGGGTCTCGGGCTGGGGCGGGGCGGGCGCGGTCCGACGACCCCGCCTTGTAGGAGCCCAGGCGCAGCCCTGAGCGCGCGCCCCCGGAAAGCTTCACCGTGGGAACCGAGACCGTCTCCTGGACGCCCTTCCCGCCGGCCCCGCGGCGAGGCGGGGACCCGAGCGACTCCGACCGGGTGCTCCGCGAGGCCCTGGGGCGCACGGGGTCCTCCGCCTGGTCCCCCCAACGACACCCCGCGCCCGAGCCCCGCGGGACCTCCAGCGCCGAGGAGCAGCCGTCCGTGGAGGGGTTGCCGACACTGCAGAGCTGCCCCATGTGCCAGGCCGTCTTCGCCCCCAGGTGAGTGGCCCCCCTGGGCCTTTCCTCCGCTCTGCTGCCACCCGGTGG